ATCCCGAGAGAGAAGAAACTAAGGCCGTGTGCCCAGTGATTGTCCAGGTCACCGTCTGGAAAGTTTCCAGGCCTCACCACAGACTGAGAAAACCCAAACAAAGCTCACGGTCTCTCTGAGGTGAGAAGGCAGAGTCTGCAGTTCAGAGAGGCCAAGTGGCTGGAATTGATATAAGACAGTAGCAGAGACGGGGGAACTGCACAGATCGGCAAGAGGGGTCCTTCTTAGGCTCCCGCTGTGTTCTGCCCTGTGCATGCAGGTGAGGAAAGGGAAAGGCCTGCTGGGAGGAGGCAGGTGGAACAACCCCAGGAGCTCACACGGGGCTGAGAAGAGCTCACATTCCCAGCGGCCAGCGTGGAAGGACTACCTAATCATGGCTCATCCAGTAGAGCCCTTGGAAGGGGACGGCCTCTGTACTGGGGTCAAGTGAGCCAGGGACTAAAGGGTGTTCTGGACTAGCACCAACCAAGCTTAAAAGCAAGCGCCTAAGAAGACCTAAACGACTCCTAGTAACTTCACCTTGTCCCAGGACAAAGCCCAAAAATCTTGAAAGGAAGCAAGAATTCAGCATCCAACAACATAAAATTCATAGTAACGTCAACCAATCAAAAAATATCTGGGGGCTTCCCTGGTGGCGCAGTGGTTGAGAGTCCGCCTGCCAATGCTGAGAACACGGGTTCGTGCCCCGGTCTGGGAAGATCCCACATGCCGCGGAGCGGCTAGGCCCGTGAGCCATGGCCGCTGAGCCTGCGCGTCCGGAGCCTATGCTCCGCAACGGGAGAGGCCACAACAGTGAGAGGCCTGCGTACCGTCAAAAAAAAAAAAAAAAAAAAAAAAAAAAAAAATCTGGCATGCCAAAAAAAAAAGGGAAAATATAACAAATATAACCTAAAATCAAACCAGAAGAAAAATCAATAATAGAAATATAGCTAGAAATTACACAGATGATAGAATAGACAAAAAGAAATCAGAAGGGAAATTATAAAATATTTTAAACTGAATAAAAATTAAACCACATATATCAAAATTTACTGCAGGCAGCTAAAGCAGTGCTTAGAGGAAAATGTACAGCATTAAACTCATATTTTATAAAAGAAGAAAAGTTTAAAAATCAATGACTGGTATTGAGAGGCTATGACTGAAAAGGAATAGCATGAGGGAATTTTTTGCTTGATAGAACTACAACGTAACACCCGATTATAGCAGTGTTCACACAAATCCATAAATATGCTAAAATTAATGGAACTACACACAAAATGAGTCAATTTTATTGTATGTTAATTTTCAAAAGTAAAATAAAATAAACTGAGTGGCATAAAAAAAAATCAATGATTTAAGCTTCCATCTTAACAAAAAGAAGAGTAAATTAAAATTGAAGTAAGCAGCTAAAGGTAAGAAATAAAGAACAGAAATCAATGAAATATAAAACAGAGAAAAAAAATAAATGAAACCAAAAGAAAGTTCTTTGAGAGGACAAATAAAATTAATATAAAATTGATAAATTTCTAGCCAAACTGATCAGGAAAAAAAAAAATGAAGACCTCAACTATCGATACCATGAATTAGAAAGGGGGCACTACTATAGATCCTACAGACATTAAGAGGCTAATAAAAGGGGAATTCCCTGGTAGTCCAGTGGTTAGGACTCTGTGCTTTCACTGCAGATCCCTGGTCGGGGAACTTAGATCCCACATGCTGCACAGCACGACCGAAAAAAAAGGAAAAATGAAAAAAAAAAAAAAAGGAGGATAATATAGGAATATAGTAAAAAAGTTTATGCCAATAAATTCAACAGTTTAGATGAAATGACAAATTCCTTGAAAGACACAAGCTACCAAAACTTGAACAGAAGAAACAGATAAGCTTTAATAGCCCAATACCTACTATAGAAATTGAATACTTTGAAACCTTTTCTCAAAGAAAACTCCAGGCCCAGATGGCTTCACTGGTGAATTCTACCAAATAGTAAAATAAAGGAAGAAATAATACCAGTTCTCCCAAAACTCCTCCAAGAAATTCAGGAGGAGGGAATACTTTCCAATTAATCTCATAAGGTAAGCATAACTTGAGAGCAAACAAAACAAGAGAATTACAGGGAGACCACAGACTGATAACACTCAGGAACACAGATGCAAGACTCCTTAACAAAGTTTTAGCAAATCGAATCCAGCGAAGTGTAAAATGTGCCTGCCACACTAGGCGGTACTAACCCAGAGTGAGTATCACCTGAAGGGATCAGAGAAAATTCCAGGAGAAGGTGAGTTCTCAGCAGACCCTTGACAGTTGAGCAGAATTTCAATAGGTGGTGATGTTACGGCAGAGAAAACGACAGGAAAAAACAGATGGATACAAGAAGGTGGCAGATCAGCCAAGAACAGGTAGGCGTGTTGGCTCTGACTGGGGTGGCTGCCAGCCTTCCAAAGAAGCTCCCTTCTCTGGGAGCAGTTCCAGACACAGAGCTGAAACCCCTGGAGCCAGCTCTGTGCTATGTGACCCTGACTCTCACCCACCCCACCCCCAGCCATAACTGACTGTTCCGGAGTTAGACATATCACCAACCTGGAACAATGAGATCTCTTGCCCAACAGTTTGAAACCTGAACGGAGACAGTCTCCCTGCCTGGGATTTGATGGGCCCACAACACGATCTACCTTAAGGGAAGTCCCCAGAGCTGGTCCTGCCCTTCCCTTGGCTTTTCGGCAACTTCTTGGATCCCATGAGCTGCCCCAGGGGCCTTCCTATAAGACTCTCTCTCTTCGTTAAGTTAATGTGAGGTGGTTTCCGCGCCTTGCAACCAAAAGAATATTAAAGAGTTCAGTGAGTACCATGACAGCCACTGCAAGTTTATCTCCATGCAAGAGTTCAATCACTGCGTAGTAAAGTTTGACTCCCTGGGCCGGAGCCAAGGGTCTATGACAGTGAAGTTGGTGGAATCAGGTCAAGTTAGAATGGTGGGTGCGATCCAGATACTCAAAATGGCAGGTACAGGAGACTGGAGTTCAAGGGAGAGAAGAAAGCACCAAAGGTTTCTGAACAGGGGAAGGACACGGTCAACACAGTCTTACAGAGAATCACCCGGCAGTGCTGTGGAGGATGGATTATAAAATGGCCGTGTGTTTGACCCCTCGGGGAGGCTGCGATAATGGCCACCGGGATGACGTGCTCAATATCTCTCTTGCTCTCGTGCCTTTGGTTCTCGCCTCTAGCACCTAACTTAGAGCCAGGCACTGAGTTGTGCTCAGTTAAATTCTGCTGATCAGATAGGCTGAAGAGGGAGAAATGACAACACCTGATGACTAAATGCTGGGATCAAAGGAGGGAAAGAGCTAAAGGTCGTGGCAGTTTCAACCTTGGCTGGCAATTTCAACTGAACCAGAAATGGCAGGAAGCGTGATGAGGTCAGGGTATATTTTGGGGGGATGAGTGTGGTGTAGACAGACTGTTTCAAACTGTTGCTCAATCACCTAGGTAGAAGTCTCCAGCGTGCAAGGGTCAGGAGTTCAGACTGCAGGGCTGGAGTGAGGCGGGCATGGAAGGGGAGGGTCGGGGGAACGGCAGGCAATCCATGGGTGGGACCGACTCCCATCGGTCAGGCTTGGAGTTCTGTTTACTCCCACTAACTGAGGGCTCCCGTGTGCCAGTCACCAAGGCAGGAGCTGGAGGGAGTCGCAGAAGCCATGGGAGTGAACGAGATTGTGGAGGGAGGATTCGGAGCTTGCTAGGCATCTTTTAGAGAAGTCTCGGGCTAGATCTACACCCTTGCACGTGAGCACAATGACTTATGCAGGAGAAGAGCCATCATGGCCGGTCCCGTCTCTAGTGGGAAAAGCCTGGAAATGGACTCAGTGTCATTCAGTAAGGGGATGGCGCACTAAATGATGGCACAGACACAGGATTAAAAAGCACGAGGCAGCTCTATAGGGATGGGAAGTGACGTGTTGATACATGATGATGTGAGAAAAACAAGGCACAAAACAGACAATAAAGAATGAACCTCCATGTTGGGCAGGGAGTGGGGAACCCACATGAATAAAATAATATACACTTGTACTTGGGTTTGCATGGATATCTTTAAAAAGACACACAAGAAACTGTTAACGTGAACTGCCTGTGAAGAAGAGAACTGGAGGACAAACGAGAGAGGAGGCCTCTTTCACTATATTTCCTCTTGCCACTAATCAACTTATCATGATTAATGATTTAAGAGTAAGTACATACTTTATGTTGAGTGCTTTCTAAATGACTCCAGGCATAGGCTGTCTTAGTAAAACCCACCTCCAACTACCTCCCAATAAGCTCATGAAAAACCTACTAAAACAACACTTGATGCAAAGTCTCATCTATGCCAAGCCCAGCACTTGGCAGGGGCCAGAGGAATATTCTTGACTTCTTCTTCAAAGAGATTCTGATGTGGTGCTTTGAGAACTTGCCCGTGTCAAGCCAGGTGGCACACACACCAGCAACTGTTCTCAGAGAGGAAGTAAATGAATGGATTCTAATCAAATCTGTCAGCTCCGCGGGAGTCTGATCCTGACCACTCGGCCTCAACAAGGGAAGCCAGAGAACCACACCTTTCTTCAGAAAGGAAACCTACGCTTCCACACAATCCACTCAGAGTCTATTTTAGCTCTGAACCCAGAACAGCACATCAACTTTTATAAATAGCAAAACCAAGATTACAATTTGACTGATTTCTGTTCTGATGTTAGGAAAGAGGTAGGAAGCCTAAGTCAGTTGTAAACCAAGGGGTGGAAAGCAAAGCACAGTGTGAACAGTCATGCTGGGTTGGACGGTCAACACTTGAAACTCCCCCTCTGCCTGCCCCAGCCCCGTGCTGCCTGAGTAACCGATTCCCGCGGCTTTAGTCTGTAGAAAAGCACCTGAGAAATTCTAACGAGGTTGAAGAGAAGTCCTGTGGGAGTCTGCCAAAACCAGAAAGGAAATTCTTCAAGGAAAGCAGCTTTCCTTTTCCCTGAAGGCGGACAAGCTGAGCAGCTTACCTTTGTTATGAGACATCGCGTACAAGAGGCAGAGCACGAAGAGCGCGTGGTAATCGTCATCTGGGCTGTCTAGAGCATGGTACACCATATCCAGGAAGGGTCTGGAAAAGAGGGGCACGCATGAGCCTCGTGGCACGCACGAGCCTCACCTGCACACGGGAAGCAGCTGCCTTAGCCCTTTACAGCCCCACCGCCAGCATGCAGCACATCCGCTGTGTGCCCAGTCCAGCACCAGGCCTGGAGGACACAAAGGGGACTGAGAGGCAGGCCCCGCCCGTGAGAAGCTGTCGTCTCCAGGGTAAACCGACTAAGGAACGAACCAACCGCTTAATCACTCGGCATCGTTCACCCGCTGTCCCAGACACTGGGGATAAATGATACCAAGTCTCTGGTCTTGTGGCACTTCCATGCCAGGGGGCAGACAGAGAATGGACACGCTACATCATCACTTCAAAGAGTGGCAAGAGAATGAAGAAAACGGGGCAATGTAATAGACTCACACTAGCAGACAAGGTACCAACAAGTCTGAACAATTTTAGAATGTGGACCCTGGAGCAAGAACTGCCTGGGTTCGACTTCTGATTCTGCCTCTACTTAGCTGCAAACCCTTGGGTACATTACCTAAAGCTTTCCCCCATCTGCAAGGTGGGGATTAAACCCTTCGGGGTTACAGTGAAGATTCAAGTGAAATGAAAACAGAGAGGCATTTAACACAGGCCCAGGCACAGGGTGGAAAGTGCTCATACATGAGAGCTGCTGTTGGATTTCTATTTTGAGTATTCCAAGGGCACTTCTCCACGATCTCACTTTGGCAGGTCCTGGCCCAGTGATTTCTTGGGCTGACCTTCCCGGACTGGAAGGGATCGATTGGAAGTCTCTCGCCTGATGCTTTGTGGGTGAGATCTATAGAGTGGCTGCAAATATCACAAACCGCACACCCTAAATGCTGCCCTTCCAGGTGAAGGGCCTGGCCCGGAAAGACTCTTCAACACGAGGATAATAGAATATGCACAGATCTGGCCTGTAGGCAGGAGGCTCTGATCCCGTGACTGTCTGCGGCTGCCCCCGGATGCCAGGTTGAAGCCAAGAGAACACAGCAACTCGATGAGTGACCAAGGGCACACTTTACCCCTGGAAGGACACAAGCTACTGTCAACACTGCTGACTGGGCGGGGAGGTGGGGGGGCGAGATGGTGCAGCAGAGAAACAGGGAGACTATTCACTGCAAAACATTTTATACTTTTTTGAATTTTGATACTCCACAAATGTATCACCGATTCAAAATATTATATTGAAAAATGCAGAAGCAGTGAAACGCACTTGTCATAACATTTCAAACAAACACGTGACACACAGAAATTAAAGGAAGAAACTTTTAAGGAACATTTATGTTCAGGCTCTATTTCTCCGGAGCCCCCGATCTGTCATCACCATTCAAATGCGCGAATAGTTTTGCCATGTGTGGATCTGTTTTTTCCTAAGCCCCTAGCAATAACGCTTCCAAACGTAAGAGCAGGATAAAGTATAAAACACTTTCTTGTAAGCCAGCTGCTTGGAATTTGGACTGTATTTTCCTTTGGGAATAATAAGAATAACCAAATGCCCAGTAGCAGAGGGAGGGCTCAGTGGATATACCATCTTGCATGAGACGAAGTATTATGAAGCCATTAGAATTTTGTTTACTAAGAGTACAATAAAGTGAAAAAGATGCTTGGGGTTTGATATTAGAGAAAACCAAGAATAAAAAGTAATATACATGGCTATTGGGGGTATAAGCTATTGGGGGAGAAGAAGGGCAGAATTCCCACTATATTGGCACTGAAAACTGACTGGCAGGAAATCACCAAAATGCTAATAACAGCTGCCTTTGAATTATGGAGAGCTTTTTTCCCTTCTTTATACTTTTCAAGCTTTTTTACATTTTCTGAATGTATATTACTTTTTAAATTTTAAAAGGATTTTTTTTTTTTTTTTTAAAGAAAAGAGAGAATGTTGTGAATGGTTTCTGGTTTCTTACGCCTATATCTAACCATGAATGCAGATACAGCCCACAGTGTATGGCAAATATAAGGACAGTTCCACTTTGTACTATGCTGTTTCTTTGGACAAATAGACCAATGTCAAGATCCAATTCATGTCAAGGACAAACTGTCCCCTCCCTCACCCTCAGTGCCCTCCTCCTGGCTCAGTGCAGGTGAGAGGACAGAAGTCCGTGGCGGTGTCTCTGACAGCCAACAACTCAATACCTTTGCAAAGGTATTGGCAACTCTCCACCAGGGACAGTCTCTCCCTAGCACCTGGTCTCAGAGCAGAGCGCAGCTCCTGCCCAGAGTCCCTGGGGGTCACAAATCTGCATGTGGCCCAACTTAAGACACAGGATCAGCTTCCATTATGAACCACGTGGTAGAAGATGACAAGGTCACCGAAAGTTAAGAAACAATCTCAATCAACTCTAAGAAAACCCCTCTCTTCATTAAAATTCAGGAAAAAAAGAAGTCTCAACTCCAACACTCCAACGTAACTTTCTGGTCGGTTGACTTTTTGTTTTTGACAATACATGGGTATTTTTCCTCCTTTAGGAAAGCTACAGTATTACCATACTATGTAAAATACGTGCTGTTTCCATTTATTAGATCCTAAGAAACTGAACACATCATGACAGTATTCATGGAAAAGCAGCCGCTAATATTCTATTAAGTAGATGCGCCTACATTAGCCTAAGCATCCCCCACGACATGTCAGTTTTGGTTTTTCAATGATTCATATTCAAATTAAAGCCATGCAAGCACCTAAAGGTTGCTTCCCCCTCCCTTTCTGTGTTTAGAATGATTTTCTTAATTTTCAGAGCTTCAGGTGTCACATTTTGTGGTCACAACACAAAATCAGAAAGGTCCTTGTCAGTACAACTGACGGCCCACGTTGTGCTGCGATGACTTTTATTTAACCAAAACTAAAAGTGGCTCCCCTGTGCAACTGATAAAAATTAATCCTGTCTGTTAGACAATTAAAACACGTGCCAAGAAAGAGGTAAACAAGACGCAGAGGAAAAAATTAGCCTGCTTCGAGTCTTTAAGTTGCATTAATAAATAGGATGTGTGTGTGTGTGTGTGTGTGTGTGTGCGCGCGCGCGCGCGTGTGTGTGTTTCATCCACCCCACCGTGAGAGTTCAGGAAGTGAATGCCTTGCAGGCTGACAGAGAAACTATGTTGCTGTGCATTTATTACCACTAATATGGGATTAGGAGGTTATTGCAGGCATCTGCGCAGTAGGGCCATCTGATAAGGATGAAGAAGCCCTCCTAACAGTTTGCTGCAACCTCAGGAGCAGCCCTCCACCCAATTCCTTCTGGAAGGGGTGGTGCTACAGCAAGGCTGCAGGCAATGTGGCATCTGGAAGCTTTCAGAGGATGTAGTTTGGGCAGCCATCACTGAAATGAACAATCAGGCAAGAAGTTGAAGGTGGACAGCAGCGTTAAATCCAGCATTAAATCGTGCCGGCTGAGTCACGAGGTCAGGCCCTACGGACGGTGGTGCACGTGGCGGCAGCAAATGAATGAAATCCAAACGCTTCCCCCAAGGGGATCCTTTCTGGGAACAGCAGAGTATGGCCAGGAGCGGCTGGTACAAGGCCACACTCGTTAGGACGCGGCCCAGCACCGAAGTGCTTGGGGTGGTAGTGCCATGCCTCGGTCATTCATTCCAAGGGGCGAATACCACGGCCTTGAGGGCCAGCTCTGTCCCTGTGGCCTCTCGAGAGGAGCTGTGTCTCTGGTGGAGAAGCATAACGGCTTGGCCGGGAGGCAGAAGAGGCCATCGGCAGGGGCCGGGGGCAGGAAGAGGCCTGGCTTATCCTCTGTGGGCACCCGGCCAAGGCACCCCCTTCCACAACATCCCAGAGACTGAGCAGCGGTGCCCTACCCCTAGCCCCCGATGGCTGGCTCGGGGGCAGCCCTCCCGCAGTCCCGGCGACTACCTGCTCCACTGGACGCTGTCCAGGCCAGTGGCGGCGCTCTTCTCCTCGTCCGTGGTGTTCTGCTCCTGCACCGAGGTGCTGGGCGCCAGCTCCGGGAGCTTGCTGCGCTCCATGATTACCATCTCTATCTCTGGAAGCAAACACAAGACACCAGGATGAGCCCACACGGCCCCAGACCGAGCTTTACAGATACTCTCGTGCTCAAGAAGGAGCCTGGCAGACTGCTCCGCACGCGTCCAGCAAACGCTCGACGGCGGTGGTGGGGCCCCTGCAATACGCACGCTGGGGGGAAATAAGACCGAGGCCTGAACCTCTCTCTCCTTTCATCTTGGTAGCGTTGAGAAATGGGGCCCTGATTTTGACAAGAAAGCACAGAACGCGATGATTTATTTCAAGATTCTTTTCTTCAACAGTTATTTATTCTACTTTATTGACACCATGCTTCCTTCCCAGAGGAGTTGAGGAGCGTGGAAGAAATGACACGTGGTTAATAAAACATAACCAAATTCACTGAAAATATTCTGAAACTGTTTACACTGTAGAAAGGCTCTGACATGACTGAAGCGTTTGTTTTCCCTTCCCACTTAACAACTTCCAGAAAGCAGAGAGGGGGAGGGACCCCGTTTTATTTTTCCCAATTAAGTAGGGGCAACTTTTGTAGCACCTGACTTGAGCACGGTGTACACTTTCATTTTGAGAAAAAGGTCTGAACCAACAAAGGAAAACATCCTGAGTTAGAGGTGGACGGTTGTTGTGCCGTGAGGTGTCCTGTTACAGAGTTCCTTGATGCACAGGTGTGGACCTTCAAATACTTAGTTCTTAGAACCCAGGGTTCAGGTACTGCCCCCCATCTTCGGCAGACATGATGAGGGGAAACAGAGGATGAAATGTGAATCTGCATCTCTGTTCAGGAATGATGGGCCGCGGACCTGGGCTCTGCCACGGCCTTGTCATCGTCTTCCCCTGGACTCGTGCCTCCCACGTGGCCTCTGCTTCTCTTCTCGCCCCCTTAGTTTGTGGTCCACAGCGAACCAAGTGATTTTAAGTGGAAATTAGCCCAGGTCCCCTTCTGCCTTCCCATCACACTCAGGATGGAATCCAAATGCCATTCATGGTATCAAGGCCTCGCACGGCCTGGCCCCCATCCACCTCTGACCTCACCTCGGGGCCCTCCCCGCCCCGCCAGCTGTGCTGAGCTTCCTTCCCACTTGTCTTTGACCGGAGTGAGTTTGTTTCTGCCCCAGGATCTTTACAGAGCTGTCTGCTCTGCCTGGAACGCTCTCACCCCAGTCCTCCCTACCCAGGCACAACTCAATCACGTTATTCGGGGCTCAGTTCAAACATCACCATCTCAGAGACGTCTTCTCAGACACCCTCCCCACTGGTTTTTCCTTTACCTCTTTTAGTTATCATGAACTAAACTCCATACTTCATTCAGACTTCCTTAGTTTCTCCCTAATACCCTTTTTCTATTCTAGGATCCCATCCTGGATATCACGTTATACCCAGCTGTCATATCTCCTTAGGCTCCTCTTGGTTGTGACGGTTTCTCAGACCTTCCTTCCTTACAGTTTGAGGAGACTGGTCCTCATTTTGTAGCATGCCCCTCAATCTGGGGCATTCTGACTGACGTTTTTCTGCTAATTAGACTGGGGTTATGGGTTTCTGGGAGGAAGACCGCAGAGGGGAAGTGCTCCTCTCATCACATCCTATCAAGGGCACAGGCTATTGACATGACTTATAGCTGTGGATGTTCATCTGAATCATTTGGCCAAGAGAATGTTGTTCAAGTTTCTCCACTGGAAAGTGACTTTTCCTCCTCCTTGCATCCCACACCCTTTGGAAGCAAGTCATTAAGCACAGCCCACACTTAAGGATTAAGGAGTTCTGTTCTGTCTCCCTGAGGGAGGAACAGCTACACAAATTACTGGGAATTCTCCTGTCCCCTCCCCCATCCTGATTTTACTTTATAGCATGTATAACTACAGGTATCCCCACCTTTTCGAAAAGTTTGCTTTAGGCCACTTCGCTTTTATGAAAGACCTACGTTAGTACCTCTTTTTCTAACCAAAAGAAACCTGAAAAGGATTTTCCCTTTTACAAAAATAGGCAAAAAGCAGAAATAGCATTGAGCGTTGGTGTTGCAGCAACCGTTATAGAGGCGTCAGGCACCCCATGCAGCGGGAGCGGCCCCGCCAAGCTCCTTCCCGGGAACCCCACTCAGCACCTCAGCGTCAAGCTGCCGTAGCTCTGAACTGTGTCTGGGAGCATTGGTGCTTTACCTCCATTTATTTTGTGAATCTGTTACCAAGATGTGTCCTAAGGTAACTGCGTCTTGGCTTTACGCCATCTTGTCCTCCAAAAGGTTTCATAGGACCGCTCTACTTTTGGATCCCGGGGGGGAAACCTGCACCTGGATTTTCTGTTTTCTATTTACTGGTTTGCTTGTTTCTTGTCTGCCTTCCCCAACTAGGATGTGGGCTTCCTGAGAGTAGCTGCCTTATCTGTCTTGTTCTCCACCAGAACTCCAGTGTCTAGTCCAGGGCCTGGCACACGGCAAGTGCTCACTACACATCTCTGGAGTGGAGCAATGGATGACAGGCCACCGGGGGTGGCTTTGGCTGCAGGCAGGGCTGGCAATGATGCACGGCAGCTGTGGTGTGCAGGGCGCCCCACTCAGCCTGCGATCAGTGTGTGCACAGTGCCTTCACCGGGGGATATCGCATCCTCGCCACCTTTCTGGGACTCTGTTAGGCGTGACCGTGCTTGCAACTATCCTCTGGCTTGAGGACTGCATCCCCACATGCCCACGTGGGCCCGGACCCGGAGGAGGGGGCTTGCCTGCACCAGGCCCTTCCCTCCCAATGTGGTCTGGAGTCAGACACCACAGATCAGAGTCTCCCACAGGGCTGACCCTCTCACACAGGTGGGGGCTGACACATGATTTTTAAGTGGAATGTGCCTGAATAGTTTTGTATTTATTTTAATGTGCATTAGAAGAAAATTCTAGCTGCACACAAAACCTGTTCTTTTGTGGATGTTACTGCTTAGGATGAAGCTAAATTTAAGAAAAAACAAGTGAATCAATTCACCAAGAGCTACGGAGTAAACAGCAGTCCACGCAGCCTGCGGCCACGGCAAAAGGCGGGAGGCGCTGCAGACTGCTGTCTGAGAAGCACCATTCTCTCTCGTACTCGCATCCTCCCCTCCACCAGCCTCCTTCAGATGCCGCCCAACTACCCCCGTCTTCTCCAAAGTGGGGCGCAGACACACTTCAGTGGGTATGCCAGATGATTCGCTAGGCAGTACCTCTTTTATTTTTAATTATCATTTTTTAAAAGTCTACTCTGTGTTATGATGTACATAACATTTGTACAATACAGATATGTACAGTTTATAATAAATGCATATCTATTGGGGAGATGCATGCTCAATTATGCATTTATTTCTGTTTACTACTAGGGCATGTCATCAAAGACATCTGAAGACTACCAAGTGAGATGATGGTGCCAGTCTCTGGCTTCTGCCCTGTGACCTTTGACCTGCTTCCCATACTGCTGCGAGGCCCCCTTCCTCCTTGACTGCCTGGCTGACACAGCAGGAACTCAGCTCCAAGGACTCCCCAAGGTTCCGGGGCCAAGCCCTAGTGCCTCCACCTGCTGTGACATGGTTGTCCCTTTTTGGCTTCTTAATCTCCCTGGACTCTGAGAATTCTGGAATAGAGGAGAGGTTAAAGACAATCCAGTCGAGTGCTCACCAAACTTTGCTGAGCAGGTGCATGTTAATTCTGAATGACAACTTCCCAGGGCACCACCATGGTAGGAGGTGAGAGCAGAGCTGCTCCAAGTACAGAGTGGGTGGGCGGGTGCCCGAACATCTCCAACCACGGGTTCCCTCACGGCCTCCACAGAGGCCCCTAAAGCTCCTTTCTGGAATTCTGGAGCTTCCCACACAATGGCCTGAAAACAACTAGTTTGGTCCTGAGTTCTGAATCTGAAGAAACAGAAACCCAGAAGTATGACTCAACACAGCTAGAAAAGCAGCAGCAGAAGCCAGGCCTGCTCCCCCTCCCGCCTCCTAGGTCATGTCCTGGTGCAGAACCAGGCCCACAAGGGAATCTCCATGCACAACGAGGTTTCTGAACCTCGGCTGTGGCACCCTGGTTCTCACAGCTGCGCCCCTGTTCCCCCGACATACTCCTCCTCCAGCTGGCATGGCTGTGGGATGAGCTGCTCCACTTAGTTTTCTAGGTAAAATACACAACGCTTCTTTCAAAGCCAAACAGGTTTTTCCCCTTCTTTTAAACAATTTTATCCAAACAACTCTTAAAAGTAGTGATGCTTACCTAGGTCTGCCAGCTCCCTGCAATTGTATGCAAAATGCTATGTGGGCATGAGAGGAGTGGGTAATAGGTTTTTGAGGAGAGGGTCTCGCCATTCTCACCGTTCCAAAATGGATTCTACAGCCATCTTCAAAAGTGGCTGCCGAAGAGCATCTGGCCTGTCTTGGTGATCGAGGGTCAAAGGGCACCCCTCTTTATGCCACACCAGGAGGTCCGGCATGGTTCTGCACAGCCTTGTGGGCCCCCACTGCCACACCTCTCTGCTGACACTACACCCGCCTCAGAGAGGCCTAGCTCCCCTCCCAAGGTGCATTCGTCACGCTGCCGCCACCAGGGAAAGCAGAACAGTGGGCTCACGTGGACACAGATTTCCACTGATGGTCCCTGAGGCCAGGACCCAGGTGCTGATGATGAATTCCCAGGGGGCTCCATCTGACCCTCAGTTATTAGGTTCTTTACCATGAGCTCCCACCCCACCAGGTTTCTGTTTTGGAGTCTGAAGGGACTGCAGCAACACTCTAGCCCAGTTTTGCTCAAACTTCAGTCATTTGCCTGCCTTTACAATTCCTGCCATGTCTGTGTGTTGCTTGTACTATTTGTTATTAATCATTTTATTTGAACTCCCACTTTTTTTTTTTTTACTTAAATACATTTTCAACAAAAACTTTAAATCACTCCTATATCCTTCAATTGAGCAATCCCACTCGCAGGAATTTATCTGGAAGATACACCTCCAACGATATAAAAATGCACACTTACAAGGGTATTCAGTGCACTATTACTTGTAA